ATATCTCTCCGAGTTGAAGAAAATGTTTAAGAACCTGATATAGAACTTTAAGTTTAATATTGTATTATGTATAATATAGCTCACTAACAGTTGGATTTGGCTAAACAGTAAGTTCAATTACATATCCAGAAACATAAAGTCATGAGAATCTGATTTGGACTATTATCTTCCTCAATACTGTCTTCCAAGATTACAAACAAGATCTATTGGATATAACTGTGTCATTAGTTATAACTCACTTAATGTCAGTGGTCCTTTCCTTTTAATAGATGTGTTAATAAATGTTTGTATTGTCAACATTTCAGAGGGAATCGCTCTCCTCTTTTCTTTTTAATGATTTGTATATGGAAAATGTCCTTTAAGTAACTTTTTTCTTTCAACAAAGTTTAACACAGGCAAGAGATTTACCAAGTGTCATAAACACAGGTTACTGATATTTGGTTTTCTCTCTGTGAAAGATCTTGACACTTAATGTGAAAAGAAAAAGGATATTTAGAAATTTAAAAAACCCACATTTACCCATAAATAAGAAATGATTTACCTCCTATGATTAAAATTAAAAACTGATGTTGATGGTTTTCTTAAACAGAAAATAGACAAATCTATCAATACAATATTATGTTTAACGGCAAAAATAGCTGCTGGTTTCCTACCAATGAATATGTAACAGTGAATAAACAAAGAATGGAATTAGACTGAAATAGAGATTTTTTCCCCCCAAGTCTGGAGATGACTCAACGTTTAGTTTTGAATGTCTACAAAATGATGATATTCCAAAAATACACACTTTTTAATAATGCCAAAGGGAAATAATAAATTAACTTAATTATCCTATCTTTATAAAATACAGGCCAGAATGTTCTTCAAAATAACTTTTTAAAAATGGAAGTGAGCAAGCAAAGAGAAATTAGGCAATCTGCTTAAAACTTCAACAGGAGACATGGAAGGAGACAGTATCTGAATTAGATCCTTCAGAGTGCACAATGTTCTTTTTACCTGACAAAGAGGAGGGTGTCTCCGAATCTAGCACAGCTTCAACAAAAGATATAAAGTAATTAATGATGTTGCCCCTTAGGTGGAAAATGATGGAAAAGCAAGAGTTTACCGATGTGAGAACTGCCAATGGGTATCAGTGAGGAAAATTTTTTTAAATGCATACCCAATGCATCTCCTAAAGGCTTACCTTTGGCTGTTTTAGATCACTAGCATAACATTCATTACAGAAACTCACAGAATTTGAAGGTTTGTAGTTCTACAAATCTGAAGCGACCTGTGAGGTCCATTGCAAAGTGATCTGTTATGGAATTGAGTCCCAGGGCTGAATCTGGGAGCAAGTCATTTTACCAGTAAGTGAACCCAGCCAACCACTGAGTACTTCGGTATTCTTAATCTTTAGATAATCCCATGTGGTATGTGTGTCCTTATTTAATAGATGTGAGACAGAAATTCTTTTCTATGGTAGCAATAATGAAGGTGTTAAGATGTATTCTGTAAAGAATGACACAAGCCCGGCCAGTGTGTCTCAGTGGTTGAGCCTTGACACCCATGAACCAAGTGGTCACTGGGTGGATTCCCGGTCAGGGTACATCCCCAGGTTTCACGCTCCATCCCCAGTAGAGGGCATGCAAGAGGCAGCCGATTGATGATGTTCCTCTCTCATCAATTTTTCTCTCTATTCCTCTCCTTTCCTCTCTCTAAAAAATCAATAATCCCATGAGTCTACTAAACTATGCATTTCTAGCACAATAAAATACTACTTGAGTGAAAATTTAAGACACTTCCCAAATTATCTTAAATTCTCCCTCTTATGATGTCCTGCATTCACATGTGACTACATTCTTCTTTGATAATAATGTCTCCCTAGCTGAGTGATGATTTACCTGTTTTTTTAAAAAGAGATACATAAAGGTACACAAAAATACAAATTTTCATCATTAGGCACAAAGTAAGCATTTTCTCAAGCGGCTTAGATTATTGCAGGCGCTCTTGCAAGTATTATACTAGTGAGTAACAAACACCATTACTGTCCCTTGACCCAGATCAGAATAATACAGGCAGTATAGTCTAATACAAGGCACAAAGGATTGGGAAAGAGGCCACTCAACTTTTTTATGCTTCAATCTCCTCACTAACCAAATATTCCAGTGAATGAGTGGTACAAAGGAACTGGTCAGAGCTTTTGTGTGGTCCAAACAAAGTAACAGGTGAAAGTGTACCTAAAAGTTCAAATTTTATAAATGTAAGGTATTGTAAATTTAATTGGATAAACATGAATTCAGTACTTCTTATAAGTAACGAAACACAGTTTTACTGGCTGTTCAAAAGAAGCATTAGGGAGCAAATAAAAATAAAAGGAACTGAATAGGTATAGAGTTTGGGGAGGCACAGGGAAAAGAGCAGCTTGGTATCAAAGTGTGGAGAAGATACAATCAGATTTTGAGAGATGGACAGACAATAATCCTGTGTTTAACCTGCTCCTCTCCTAGCAGCAGCAACCTCATCTTGACTTGCTTCTTCCAAATTATAATTTGGGAGAAGAAAAAAGCGGGGAAACTGCAAACACCAACTGAGACATATAAAAGGTACCTCTACACTTTGAATAGTCGCGAACACTTAGAAACATGGTGACAGGACGCAGAGATACCACTGGCTCTGGAAATGACAGTTTTCTATAGCCTAATCATAGTAAGCTTACTTTTTATATTTAAAGTCAGGGCAATTTTTTGGTTTTCTATTTGGTACTTAAGTCATTTTGCCTAATAATGCAGTCTCAGTATGTTACCCTCTCCTAAGTCGCTTCTCCTTGGTGAAACAGAAAAAGTGGGCTGGGCATTTAGAAGAGTGTGCTCAAATCATATGATCCCGTTTTCCCATTAGCCACCTCCGTCATCTATACTCATTCAGCAAAGTATTTGAGTCCTTACTTTGTGCCAGGAACAGGGGTAACCATGTAAACACAACACATGATACTTGTCTGTCCTCAAGAGGGAGACAACAAACAAGTGAATGAATACAAAAATTACAAATTGGAGTCAATGCTGTAAAGGGTACTTTAACAGAGACAAGTTGGGGGTTACATAACTACTTGTTTGTTTGTTTTTCTTGGCAAGGGCAGGGATCACTCAGGCAGAAATGGATATAGTTTGAGCTTTGTGTTTAATAAGATATTTATCTGTAAAGCCCTGACAACTAAAATGAGATTGCTTTTGCTCTACTCTCCTTAACTGGTACCCTTTACCCTTTAGTCAGAGCTATTTAAAGAAAAAATAAATAGGAACGAGATCATTCCAGAGAGGAATTCTGCCTGTCAACATTCTTCAAATGCAGGCCAGTGCTCCTGTTCACCTATGCCCAGATGAATCTAAGAATCCCATCTGTGTGTTCAAGGTGATACATACTTGGCAAACCAAGATGTGTTACAGAACTACTTTAAAACGGATGGTAAGGGAAGGCCAACTCCAGGGAGATTTAGGCAGAGACCTGAGGGAAGAGAAGCCACTTGTGCCCACATGGTGTGTGTGTGTGTGTCTGTATGTTTACACACGTAAGGGGCGGGAGTAGGATGAGCATCCAGGAATAGAGATCAGAAAGTGCACCTTGGAGCAGAAAAGTGCACTAGAAGGGATGGTAGAAGGGATGCAACGGTAGCCAGTGTAACTGGAGCCCACTGAGCAAGTGACATAAAATGAGACTGTAAACGTGGGTAAAAACCAGGGAGGGCCTAGTATGTCATGGCAAGGAATCTGGATTTTATCTTAATGCAATGGGAAGCCATAGGATTGCTTCAGACGGTAAATTACACGGTCCGTTTTTTATAAAAGACCATGCTGATAAAATGAGATGTGTGGGGTAAGGTTTTAAGGACAGAGAACCATAAATCAGACATAATCCTGGGTCTCAGATTTGCCATCTGTAAAGCATGTGGTTTGAACTAGAAGCCGTTTCCTTCCCGCTGAGATGTGCCTAGGCAGTGAGTTCCGAGAGCCCTGGGCCCTGTCAGATTGCTCACGGAATTCCCCTAATCGCCGTCGATGCCCAGGACGCAACCGGCACCAGTAAACTGTTGGTCAGGCAATGAATGGCCTGTCCCGGCCACGAGAGAGGCGCTCCGGGTGCGGGACCAGGCCCCGGGGCCGCAAAACGACGCGAAACGCCGCGCTAGAAGCCACGAGAGCCGGCCGCCGAGGAAAGTGGGGGCTGGCTCCACCACGGTCAAGTCGCGGCGAGGAGAGGGGCCGGGGCCTCGTGGGTTGAGGGCAGGAGCAGCTGGACTCCAGGTTCGACACAGGAACCTAGGAGGCCGAAACGCAGGGCTAAAGAGGGGTTCTGGGCCCAGGCCGAGCGGCCCAGTCACTCACCGCAGCCGTCGCCAGACTGTGCATGTTGGGAGCGGCAGCCACTCTACGCCCACCGCCGGACGCGCCCGACCCACGTCCCCACTTCAGCGCCTCTGCCGCCAAAGGTGATGAACCGCCGCTGCCGCCATCGGTCTTCAGCTCGCTCCGCCCCGTCACAGCCCTATGACCTTTCACCCCTGACCCCTCTCACAATTTCTTCCCGCCTCTTAGCCCTCAGTGGAGTTAATCCCAAAGTATGTCCTTTGCCTCTTAAGATTCAAGACCTAAAGGACATCCGCCACTTATTAGTCCCTGTATCCCCCCGCTGATATTCCCCAGAGAGGGACGTGAACTCCGACCCTCCTCCGGAGGCCAGTGAAGGGCGGGAAAAGCCGAGCAATCCAGGGAGGACAAGTAGTGCGCATGCCCCATCGGGCCGACTACGGGGAAACGACGGGAAGTCGAAAGTGAGTGAAGTGGAAAATGCGCATGCGTACTACCGTCAGTATGGGATAGAGCTGCCTTCGCGAGACAACACAGGGTGCTGGGGCGGAGCGAGGGCGTGGAGGGGCGGGGTTTGCAGGTTTGCGCGCATGCGCCTCGCCCGGTCGCGTCGAGTGTGCGTGCGTGCGTTGCGTGGTGCGTGTGGTCACAGTTCCCGCCATCAAACGCTCATCCTGAGTAGGGAAAGCGAGCTGTAGTTCTGTTTCGTGCCCGGCGTCCTTTCCTTCTTTAACTCCCATTCCTGCTCCTTCCCGCGGACTCCGTGCTTCCCGCAGGCCTGTCGGGGCTCCGGACTCGCAGGCACAGGTAAGACGGGCCTAGGGAGCTTCTCAACTGAGCCGTTTTCCCCAGGCCCCCTCCCCCCTGCCCCGCGCGGTCCGCCCACTCGGCGTTCAGTCTTCTGGATTTCGCCCTGCTGCTGCTCAGCCTGCCCCCATCCCCTCGACGAACCCCCGACCTCACCGCTACTCCACTTGGGTCTTTCCCTAGGCTTTCCTTCTTTGACCTGGTCTTGACTGTCACTCGCTCCCTCCGCAGCCGGAACCTGCCCCATTTCGCTGGGGGCTGTCGCCGTCCGCCACTCGCCCCTTAACGAGGCCTGCTATCTCTAAAGGGAACTTAGGTTGCCGCTGCCGCACATCCATCGGGCCTCGGACAGGGTCCTCTTTCACTCTTGACAATTTTTCACCTTCATTCCTCTCCTAACCATCTCACTAAAAGGCATGGATTGTATTTTTGTCGTGCATTTGGTTGCTCCCTGACTCTAGCCATCAGACCAGGTTGTCAAGTTTACCTGTTTTGCTTTTCGTTCGTGGTCCATGAAATAATAGTTGGTGACAAAATCCTGTGTTTTGGAAAGTTGGCCTGTAACGGTCTTGCGGTAATTCTTTAAAAAAGTTGGGTCTGTAAATGCCTTTTTTGGGGGTGACAGTATCTGAGAAGTATCTTAACTGGAAGAGATATCTAAGAGAGGATGTCAAGTAGACAGTTGGAAATACTGGGTAGAAGCTCCAAGGAGAGTTCTGGCTGGGCATACAGATGAATGTATATATGTCATCTGCCACATTGATGGTAATCAAAGCTACGGATCTGGATGAAATTGCTTAAAGAGAGTATAGTGCTAAAAAGGAAGGAGACCGAGAATGGAGCCCTGAGGGATTCTTGGCGTTTAATAACTGGATAGAGGAAGACAAGTCTTGTAAAAGAGATGAAAGAATCAGTAGGGTTGGATTCTGCTGAAAGGTAAAGTTGAATGAGGATTGAGAAGCCTGGTGAAATCAAGGTAGTTGATGATCATAGCAAGAGATGTTCAATGGAGTAAGATGGAATATTTGGGTTCAGTCCCTAATGTAATAAACATTACATTAAANTATTATTCCATTTCCCCTCTAAGTTTAAATTCCATCTGTATATTGATGACTTAAAAATTTTTATTTCCAGCCTGTTACTTTTGTTTTCAGCTCAAGATCTAAATAGCCCCTGTCTGTTTGAAATCTCAGCTTAATTTTTTTTCTTAGAAATTTCAAGTATAACATGTCTAAAAACCAAAGTCTTAATCTTTCCCTCCATGCCCAAGTTCTTCTCCTCTAGTATCCCGTGTCATTAAGTGATATATTCATTTATACATTTACATAGTCTGGACACTTGACTTCTCCTNTTTCAAGTATAACATGTCTAAAAACCAAAGTCTTAATCTTTCCCTCCATGCCCAAATTCTTCTCCTCTAGTATCCCATGTCATTAAGTGATATATCCATTTGTCCATTTACATAGTCTGGACACTTCTCCTGCATCCCATGTATTCTTACCATTTTCAACTTCTATTTATTCTATTTCCAATATATGTTTGAATCTATTTCTGTACATCTTCAGTATCACTTTTCTAGTTCAAGCCACAATCCTCATTCACCTGGACTTAATATCACTGGTACCCTGTATTCTCATCTGTAAAATGGCAACATCACCTTATTGGATTGTTATGAGCATTAAATGAGGTAACCATAGTAAGCACATGGCATACAGTAAATAGCCAGTAAGCATTAATTGTTATTTTAATTGTTATAAGCTGAATCACTTCAATACTTTCCTATCTGGTTGCCCTGTTTTCTTTCATTCTTGCTCCTTTTGCTCTCCTCCCGAAACCCTAGCAAACCATGTCACTTGTCCATTCAGCAGTATCATGTCATTTCTCTGCTTGAAGCTCTTCAGTGGATTTCCTATCACTGTTTATTACATTTAGGGTAAAATTCAAAGTCCTTACAACGGTCTACAAAATTCTGCAAAACCTGATTCTTTCCTGCTTTACTAGCTTCATCTTTACCTTGCCTCTCTAAACTCCAGTTACACTGCTAATTTCTTCAGTCACACCAAATTATTTTCTATCACGGGGCCTTTGCACGTTTTGTTCTGTTTGCCTGGATTGTTCCAGCGTGACCATCCTTCATTTAACTTATTCTTCAGTTTTCAGCTTAAGTGGTACTTCCTCAGAGAAACCTCTTGATACTTTCTAACCTCTAACTCCCAAGTCTTAAATCAGGTGCTATAATCTCTCATCATGCCCTGCATTTTATGTCAATTTTCAGAACTTGTAATTACATATTTATTTGTGTGACTATTTAAAGTCTGTCACCTACTAGAATATAAGCTAGTAATTTATTTTGTTTGTCTTTCTCAAAAATTTGTTAAATGAATAAGTGAACTGGAGCTTGCTTTAAGAACCATCATGTCTTTTGGAAGCACCAGCTTACTGATACTCTTTGTCATTTGAAAATTCACTCTGCAGACAAATCAGAGGACACAAAAGGGAAAACTCAAAGGGTTTCCCCCAGCTTTAGATGATTTTACATTCTTATGTCATAAAATCATTCAGATTTTAGACTTTTTGAAGTGGAGATAAAGTTTATCTAAGTTACCTCCTCTGTTTCAGCCATGACACTAATTTTATTTCTGCGCATTTGTTTTATGGATTTTTTTAAGAAAGAGCCCTTAGAAATTAGAACAGTGCTTTATATATATCAACAACAGTTTAAACTATGAGACCAGTGAGGATGATGTTTTCATAAACAGATAAAGGAAAATGTCATATTTTTAAGTAAGTTGGTGGTGGTGGATGTGGAAGAAAATATTAAAATTTAGTAATTTGTGTGTATGTAGAAAATATTTTTGTTGAGAAGTAGAAAATAAAAAGGAAGTGTATGAATGCCAAACACAGAGGCGTTTAGATTTATTTTGTAGGTAATGATGAGCTGTTAAAACATTTGAGAGAAAGTTTCAGTAGAGATATGCTGTGCAACATTGTACCTTTAGTTAACAATACTGTATTGTACACTCGAAAATGTGTTAAGAAAGTAGATCTCATGTTAAGTATTCTTAACAATATAATTTTAAAATGTTTGGGAGGAAATTGACATCAATGGGAAGCATTTAGCATTTACAAAGTGCCTGTTATTTTGCAGGAGTACAAAGAAAGATAGGACAGGTCCTCCTACCTTTCTCCCCCTTCAGGGAAAAAGTTAAAGAGACAATTAGCGCATACTGTACTTTCTTTGGTAAGAGATAAAAGTAGTTTTTTTAGAAAGGGTAAAGGATTCATTGGATGGAAAAATCCTGAGGGAATGGAGACTGGAAAAATGGTTGCTGCAACCACTTTCATTGATGAGGATGCATTATGGTAGTGGTTAAAATGTAGGTTCTGTGGTATTTGACTGACTTTTGTCTCTCACTGACTCTGTAGCCAAGGATAAATTACTTTATCTCTCTAAGTTCTTAAGTTTCCTCATCTGTAAATAAAGATACTAATATCTGTTCTTTAGGATTCTTGTGAACATAAATGCACGTGTGGTGCTTAGCACTGTGCTTAGTAAATGTTGTGTAATAAATATTAGATGGGAGTGGTGGCAAAGGGATGCATTTCTGAATTAGGGTAGTAATTACGAAAAAACTGGGTTTCAGATAAATGAGAATGAGGTTAAAGCTGATGCTACGATTTTTTGCCTGAATGATGGTGGAAGGACAAGTGTAGGGAAACCTCTTGCGGGCATGGACTGTATAATTTCCACATTTGTATGCCTACCCCAGTGCTATCAAATTGGAGTAGCTCAATAAATGATTTTTTAGTAAGTGAACAAATGAGTTTAAAGTTGTTACAGCTTTCAAGAAGGCATTGAGAGATTTTAGAGCTGCTAAATTTGAGAAAGAAACCTGTAAAACTAGTTTTGAAAAAAGTAAAAGCTAAATTTATCAACCTTTTAAAATTTGTAACAGCACATGGTGAAAGTGGTATTTTAAGACATAAAACATTGTGTAACAATGTTTATAAAGTTAACAAAGGATGTATTCTTTTGCTCTGCCTTCTTAGTTTCAAAATGTAGCAGGAATAAATAAACCAAGACACACATGGATCAAGGTGCAGCTCCTCCTGGAGTCCTTCAATTTGCACACAGATCCCTAAAGTTGTGTGTGTGTGTGTGTGTGTGTGTGTGTGTGTGTGTGTGTATGAGAGAGAGAGAGAGAGAGAGAGAGAGAGGGAAAGAGAGAAAGAATCTGGAGCATTGTCTTTTAAATTTTTTTCAGTAAGGTTATGTTTGTGGTTTTTAAATAATGAAAAGGTTAATCTTTGTTATATAAATGGTCACTTTTAACAATAATTTAAGTTTTATGAATTGCATTATTTTTAAAAGACACACTTATATTTTCTTTAGCTGAGTTGATGGCTTCCGAAGAACTGGGATAGCTACAGAATATGAGCAGTTCCCCGAGAAGATTTCATTGCCTTTGGCACGAGCATCAGAATAAAGGTGAATTGTTATTAACTAGGGTTTTTCAGTAAAAGTCACTGAAAAGTAAGTAGTGTTATTATTTTAGATACATATTTCCAAGAGTATGCATACTGGGAAGAATTGACACTTTTCTTCTATTTTGTAGTAACAATTTTATGTTTTAGCATGCTTTCTTTACCACGGAATGCCCTTCTGGATAAGGATATTTTCAAAGCAGTACTTAAAATAGGAGCATTTGCCTGGCCGGGCATGGCTCAGTGGTTGAGCATCTATCTGGGATCCTGGCGATCAGGGTTCGGTTCCCAGTCAGGGCACATGCCCGGTTGCAGGCTTGATCAATGACTGTCTCATCATTGATGTTTCTATCTCTCTCTCCCCCTCTCCTTTCCTCTCTCTGAAATCAATAAAGATATATTATAAAAAAAAAAAAAAAAAAAACACAACTGTAAAAAAACAACAACATTGTGTGTGATGTGATTTGATCTGCAACTTATCATAAAGATATCTGGAAGGTATGTGGAAGTAGAATTGTATAATACACATACTGTTTGATAGCATTCTGTGCTATTATTAAAATTGTATTTACTTGACATTTGTTAAGCTAGTTTCAAGAGTCTTATACATTCTATTGTTATAAGCCATTTTTAAGTTATTAGAAGTTCATTTGGGAAATTTGAATATTTGTTGTGGATAAAATTGGTAAAGGGTCTTTCCACGAATGGTAATATCAAACATAAATGATAGTTGGTTCTTAGGAAGACAGATTTTATTGTTCATTTGTTTTCCCTAGAAAATAAATGATTTTCTCAAATAATTCAGGAGGTTAAACTAATTTGATTTTTCTTATAGTTTTGTATTCATTTAATGTCTTCTATACATGTGGATATGCTTAGACTACTTGGTGATATGATTTGATATTTTGGGAGAAATTCCATTCTAAGAAATAGTAGGCTGACTGGAAATATTTTTTTACTTATATTTGAAATTCAGGACACTTCAGCATTCGTTAAGGAATGTAGAAGCTGGTCACATTGAGGATGGAATCTTTAATATTACCAATTGACATGCCCTTAGTGGCAGCAATATGATTTGTTAATGGTGCAAAATGCAAAATTCAAGCACTAATAGACACAGATGGAAGACACATGGCAAAGAGAACATGCAGAAAAACTAAATGATGGTTAGATTCACACACTCAACATGAGTGACTGTTTTAGTTGTCTTTCTTACCTGTGCCATCCAGCTAATCAAGATCTTTGAGGATGCTTTATAAAATATGGTTTACAGAAATGAAGAAAAGGACATAAGATGGTTCATTAAATGGTCTCTTTCAAATTTTTATTTTAATCACTAGTAACTTGTAACTTTTTATTTTATTTTTCTTTCTTAGAATCTGTCAGGTGAAGGTGTATTTTTGCTTTATAATTTGGCTAGAAGCAATTTATTTTTGAAGAAAGTATGTCTCCTTTGAAGATACATGGTCCTATCAGAATTCGAAGTATGCAGACTGGGATTACAAAATGGAAAGAAGGTTCCTTTGAAATTGTGGAAAAAGAGAATAAAATCAGCCTAGTAGTTCACTACAACACTGGAGGAATTCCAAGGATATTTCAGGTATTACCAAATTTTGATTTGGAATAGATCTTCCATCACATCCTTTAGTGAATAGCTGTTCTGTGCCATACCGAGTATATGGTAACCCTCCTACTAGATTAATATTTCTTGTTTTTTATTTCCGGGACACTGGTACTGTTATATTCATACTTTATAAATTACTCAGCAGCATTATAGATAATGTGTAATAAACAGTGGGAAGTAGTCACCATTATTGAAAAGAAAGCTAGTTGGAAGAAGATAAAAGGAACTGAGTTTGGATACTATCTAAGCTATTTTAAAAACCATATTAGGATAACTTTAGTTATTTTTTTTTCTTTAACATATATGATAGATTCATTATTTAGTGTTAGCTTTTAATAGGACTTCTTTGTGTTATCTTAATGTTTACTTTCTAAATAATCCTGCCAGAGTGGTGATATGGACCATTCAAGGATGATTATTTAAAGTCATCCATCCTTACTGCTATTTTCTTCTAATTGCAGACTTTTAAAAAATATTTGTTTTTATTGATTGGTGAGAGAAAGGAAGAGAGATGGAGAGGGAGGGAGAGAGAGAGAAACATCTATGTGAGAAAGAAACATCATCTATCGGCTGCCACCTGCACGCCACCTACCTGGGGGGGTGGAGCCCAAAACCCAGGCATGTGCCCTGACTAGGAATTGAACCAGTGACCGTTTGGTGCATGAGATGACACGCAACCAAATGAGCCACACTCCAGGGCTCATTGCACACTTTTAAAGGATCTCATTATTTTATCACTGCAAAAAATAGATAATTTTGTTTTCATTTCTATACCGTTTATCTTATATAGCCAAGACCACCTAATCTTGATATGAGTTAAATTTAAGAACATAATATTTCACTTACATTTTTCTGTACTTTAAAATTCTGTATTTGTTAATTAAATTATACAACAGTATATTCATTCTAAAGCACTTTATAAAACTTTGTGCTTGAGAACCTAAGCTGAGGTAAAATTTCCATTTACCTTTGCTTTTCAACTATGAAAATAAATTACTAATGATATTGTGTATCAAAGATTTTTTTTTTATGGGGGCCTACTGGTGAGAACAGGAAGACCTACTAGATAAATTCAAAAAGAGCTGTAAGCAGTAAAGATATTATTGAATAGATTAGAAGAATGACATGGTGACATGGATAGTAGAGACAATAGTAATTTCTGCCATATACATTTATCTACTAAGTACCCATCTCAGTGAAAGACTTTTTCCAAATAGAGATTTGATTTTTCAGTCCTCAGCCCAAATTAGCACTGAGTAAATATTTAAATACTTAAGCAAACATAGATCTTTAGGCGCATGATTCTACTTTATCTCAGTTCTACATCAGTTTGCATTCAGCATTTGTTAACCACCTACAAATTGCTGCGGTGGGTACTATGCTAAGGGCTAAGAATATAGAGCTGAATGAGACACTTTTCCTTTCAAACTTAAATGCATTCTCAGCTGTAAAAATATTTCAAAGAGATGTGTTATATATATATATATTCAATGGAATATTACTCAGCCATTAAAAAGTGAAATCTTGCCATTTTCAACAGTATGGATGGGACCTACAAGGTATATAGTGAAAATAGAGAAAGACAAACACTGTATGATTTCATTTATGTGTGGAATCTTAAAGTAAACACCAAAATAAATGAATAAAGAAAGTAAAACGGAAACAAACTCAGATACAGAGAACAAACTGATGGTTTCC